AAGGTGGAGTAATGCTTGAAGCTGGCCATGATTAAGTTTCATTACATTGCTGTCCCTGTTGCAAACACCCAGCTTAACAAAAGTCGATCTACTTTTGTTGAAGGAGCCAGTTGGAAAATTCTCAGCCAAACCAAATGTAAGCAATTTTTTGAGTTTTCTGGTATCTGTGGGTGCTGGGGCTGAGAGATTCGTACATTCATGCTGTTTCGCGTGGATGGGGGAATTGAGTCTTTCCTTCAGCCCACTATCCTTCCCAAAGATACTTCACAGAGCTCTACATTCAATTTTAAATATATTCTGCTGTTAAATAATAAAATAAAAAATTGTTATTCTCAATTTGAAAATTTATTTTGTACACCCCCCCTCCCCCCTGCTGGCAGTGATTGTACAGCAGGAACCTGTCATCAATTCCTGGCCAATGATTCATGTCCAGGACCTGCTGATAGGCTGTGTCCAGTCACAGTCCAGACCTCTGTGTTGATAGTCAACACATAGCTCTGTTTGGAGGGAATGATTTCTCTGTTTCTCATCTCTGCAGGGATGAGAAAAAAAAGAGATCATTTGTAAATAGCATTACACTTTACACATAGTAAATAGTGTTAGGCACACATTTAACCCCTTGATCGCCCTAGATCAGCAATGGGCAAACTACGGCCCGGCGGACCTTTTAATCCGGCCCGCGGCTGTCAGGATGTGTGTAGGCAGGGCAGCGTGACGAACGTGAGGGGAGCTAGGCTCCTCTCACAGTCCGCCCTGAAGACTGGAAACAGCGCGGGAACACGGTGAGAGGAACGCGCGGAGCAAAGGTAAGTAAATTGACACAGGGGGGACTTGGCTTACTACTTGGGGGGGAATAGTACTATGGGGGATGAATTAATATGGGGAATGAATTACTATAGGGGGGATGAATTACTATGGGGGATGAATTACTATGGGGGATGAATTACTATGGGTGATGAATTACTATGGGGGATGAATTACTATGGGGGATGAATTACTATATGGGGGATGAATTACTATATGGGGGATGAATTACTATGGGGGATGAATTACTATATGGGGGATGAATTACTATAGGGGGATGAATTACTATGGGGGATGTATTACTATGGGGGATGAATTACTATATGGGGGATGAATTACTATGGGGGATGAATTACTATATGGGGGATGAATTACTATGGGGGATGAATTACTATATGGGGGATGAATTACTATGGGGGATTAATTACTATATGGGGGATTAATTACTATATGGGGGATGAATTACTATATGGGGGATGAATTACTATGGGGGATGAATTACTATATGGGGGATGAATTACTATATGGGGGATGAATTACTATGGGGGATGAATTACTATATATGGGATGAATTACTATGGGGGATGAATTACTATATGGGGGATGAATTACTATATGGGGGATTAATTACTATGCTTACTATGGGGGAATATTACTATACTTACTATGGATGACACATACACATCATTCATCTACTCTTGGTCCGGCCCCCGGGTCCAATATATGAACCCATTGCGGCCCTCAAGTCAAAAAGTTTGCCCACCCCTGCCCTAGATGTTAACCCCTTCTCAGCCAGTGTCATTAGTACAGTGACAGTGTATAATATTATCACTGACCACTGTATTAATGTAAATGGTGATGTCAGTGCCAGCTAGGCAGTTCTCCCTAGCGTCAATTAGTGTCAGATTGCCCGCCGCACTATCATAGTCCCATTATAAGTCGCTGATCACTGCCATTAGTAGTATTGTGGTTTGTAGACAATTTTCACGCAAACCAATAAAAAAAACTTATTGAGATTTTTTTTTTTTTTTATCAAAGACGTGTAGCATAATACATTTCCCCAAAATGTATGAGGAAATTTGATTTTTAAATGTTTTGTAGCAGAAAAAAATAATAATATATTTTTTTTTCAAAATGTCTTTTCGTTTATATTACAAAAAATAAAAAGCCCCATGTTGATAAAATACCACCAAAAGAAAGCTCTATTTCTGTGAAAAATGAATATAAATTTTGTTTGGGTACAGCACTGCATAACTGCAATTGCCAGTTAAAGTGGTTAAAGCTAAATTGTTAAATAGCAAATAATTACCCGGTCATGAAGGGGGTAAAATCTTTCGGAGCTGAAGTGGTTAAAAATGAACATGTATCAAAAGGATCGCTGCTAAATTAGACTTCAGTCATGACAGGTCCTCTTTAAGGTTGAGGCACAGAGTAAGAAGTGATCTGCGTGTATACGTTTAGCACGTACTACACACCCGGCTATACATCCCGATATAGAATGGCTGTGGTATGCCGTTTTCTTTCCTCAGCTGTTTTGGCAGATGCTACGTTCTTTCATGTCTGCCCTGGAACACAACAACCGTGATGGATATTTTCCCATTAGAAAGATGGCACACACATGAAAGAATGGCCTGGTCCTCGCTTCGCTCTGCACATTATAGAGGCTGTCAGCGTCGTCCAGTGCCACTCAATAACATCTCTGTGTGAACCTTGCCTGCACTGACATGGAAACCCGAGCAACTGCCAGGACAGCTGAACAGGAGTTTATAATAGAGAGCTGTGAGGGAGAGAGCAACACGCAGTACCTAGGCCAGGGCACCAGTTCATCTCAGGGGAATCTTCCTCCATTGGGATTTCAAGTGTCTACATATGATCCTCTCCAGCCAAGGGGGTACAAGACATTAAAATATAACATTAACCACTTCAGCTCCGGAAGATTTTACCCCCTCAGAACTATGCCCTTTTTTTTTGCTATACTTCGCTGCGCTACTTGGTAATTGAACGGTCATGCAACACTGTACCCAAACAAAATTCATATCTTTTTTTTTACACAAATAAGGATTTCTTTTGGTTGTATTTGATCACTGCTGGCTTTTTAATTTTTTTTTGCAAAAATTTTGAAAAACAAACCCAATATTTTTTACTTTCTGCTATCAAACATATCCAATAAAAAAATTACAAAATCAAGTTTCTGCCACATGTCTTTGATAAAAAAAAAATCCCAATAAAATTGAAAAGATTAAAAAAAAATAAAATTGATTGATTTGCATGAAAGCGATAGTACCTACAAATTATGGAATATATATTGTTTTTTGTATTTCCACTAATAGTGGCAATCAGCAATTTATAATGGGGCTGCAGGAGTGTGGCAGACAATCTGCCACTAACTGCCACTGACTAACTGCCTCTGACATTAATACAGTGATCAGTGATAACTATAATGACATTAATAATAATAATGAAATTAATAATGGCATTAATACAGAGATCAGTGATCACTGTACTAATGACACTGACTAGGAAGGGGTTAACATCTAGGGTGATCAAGGGGTTAAATGTGTGTCTAACTCTATGTAATGTATGTAAAGTGTGCTGCCTTGCAGGGATGAGAAACTGAGAGATCGCGCCGTGTGTACAGAGCTCTGTGTTGAATGTCAACACAGAGCTCTGGGCTGTGATTGGACACAGCTGATCAGCAGGTCCTGGCCATTCATCATTGGCTGGGACTTGCTGACAGACACCCGATGTCTGCAATCACAGTGGGAGTCAGCAGGGGGGTGGGCACACATGCCCAAAACCCATAAATAGGCAGCAATGAACCCATATCTTTGCCTACAGCGGTACATTGTGGGCGGGCATGAAAAGGTTAAAGAATATCACATCCCAAAAACAAAAACATGAAATATATTGCAGCTTATTCGTCCTTGGATGTGGTGACTGTTTTAGTTCTTTTTCAAGCTTTTATTTTTACCTCTGTATCTGCTAGTAGCACACCTGGGGGAGATTCTAATCAGCTTCTAACTACTGCTTGTTCACTTAAACTTTGAGAATCAACCCTGGAAGCTGATTGGTTTCTATGCAGAGCTGCTCCAGATTTTGCACTCTCCAGTTTTAGTAAACCCCCCGCCCCCTCCCACTGCCTGTTCTAGGTGACAACATTTACAGTACACATCATACTGTATTTATGGAGGAGCAGTGTTGTCACACTAGAGTTTCGAATAACATGATATATTATTAGAGTAGCTGTACCAAGTGAAATTACTGGCTTCAGGTGATACACACAGAAGCAAATCATCTTTCACAAGTTGTACCTATATATCTGTAGCCTTCTCTTCTCTACATCTGTTCAAAATGCTGAATTTATAAAGTTTGTCTGAGAGTTCAGAAAAAAAGGGCGGAGAGGTGAAATTACACACTGCAGTGCCTACTGAGGAGAGCTCTGAGAGCTGATTGGAGGAAAGAGACACACACCCATACACACACAGCACACAGTAACAGAGCTGAGACTGCAAATTGCTGGAGGTCCGTCCCCTGTCACCATTTTTCTGTTGGTGTCAGGAAAACTTGTCAGAAGTGATTCAAGCTGATAGCAGAAGAATAAAGCAGCAGACAGGAATGACACTTAGGCTGCATTCACACTTGAGTGATTTGTAGCTTGAAGCTCAAAGGTCCAAAAAAGCTCAAACTTGAAAAATATCAGTTGTTCTCTATGGTGCCTGTTCACACCTGATTGCGTGAACAGGCACCATGGAGAAAAATTAATTTTTTGTCTCTGAGCTTTATTGGACCTTCAAGCTTCAAGCTAAAAAACACTCAAGTGTTAATGCAGCTTGAATGCTGTTAATTCAGACAAGTACACACTGTAGAGGGATATGCTTTGTTCATATTTCATGTCTGAGGTTTACAACCACTTTAACTGTATTTTTTAACCGCTTATGTGCTGCCCTATAGCAGATATACTGCTACATTGTGGCACAGGTGTGCAAAAATCACGTATATATGCGTGATTTTGCAGTTCTGGGTAGGGGCCGCTGCTCGTGGCCTCAGCTCTCAATTGCTGGGTCCCGGCCGGTGATTTCTCGCCATCACCCGGGGATCGCCGAGTATCTCCGACGGGGGGGGGGGGGGACCTGTGTATAAACAACACAGATCTCTCCCCTGTCAGCTCCTGCACACTGCTTTGTATGGCTCTGCATCAGGGGCGGACTGACAACTCATGGGGCCCCCGGGTTATAGGGGATCATGGGGCCCCTGTGTCCTTGCCCAAACTCAAAAAAGCCTATGAAAAAGGTACTAGGGGCATCTCATGGGGCCCCCTACTGACCCCGGGCCCTCGGGGCAGTGCTCGAGTTTCCAAATGGTCAGTCCACCCCTGCTCTGCTTACAAAGCAGTGTGCTTACAATGGAAAGCACACACACAGCACACAGTGAAACAGTACAAAGTTAACCCTTTGATTGCCCATCATGTGAAACCCCTTCCTGCCCAGTACAGTGTCAGTGCTTTTTTATTAGCACTGATCACTATATTGGTGTCACTGGGGATGTCAGTGACACCAAGTCAGCTCTCCCCAGTGTCAGAATGCCTGCCATAAGTTGCTGATCGCCACCATTACTAGTAAAAAAAAAATTAAAAATCCCAGTATATATACCGCCAATTGTAAACGATATAACTTTCACGTAAACCAATTAATTTACACGTATTGGGATTTTTTTTTGCAAAGACATGGATCAGAATACATTTTGGCCTAAATGTATGACTAAATTTTATTTTTTACGTTTTTTTTACTGGACATGTTTAAACTCTTGGTGCCGGCCGAACGCAAATGTGCGTTCCATTTAAAAAAAAAAAATGTGCTGAGAGTGCGTGCCCTGCGCGCTCCCAGCACACATGTCCAGTACTCACGGAAAGGTCCCAATCTCCTCTTTCGATTGGGACCTTTCCCGATCATGTGACCGCTGTGACGTGTGTCACGGTCACATGACCCTAAACCCCGCCCGGCCTCCAAGCTTCTGAAACCCTTAAAGGGCCGGAGAGGCGCCGGTGCCAAGGGGTTAATATTATTATTATACGGGATTTATATAGCGCCAACAGTTTGCTCAGCGCTTTACAATATAACGGGAGACAATACAGCAACAATACAGTTCAATACAAGAGGAATAGGAGGGCCCTGATCCTTGGAGCTTACAATCTAGAAGATAAAAAAAGTCAAAAATATAGTTTTTTTCTCAAAATTAGATTTTTTTGTTTGTAGTGCAAAAAATTATAAACGCACAGGCAATCAAATACCATAGAAAAAAAGCTCTGTTTGTGGGGAAAAAAAAGGAATGTAAATTTCATTTGGGTGCAGCGTCACATGACTGCGCAATTGTCTGTTAAAGTAACGCAGTGCTGTATCGCAAAAAGTGGCCCGGTCAGGATGGGGGGGGGGGGGTAAATCCTCAGGAGGACAAGTGGTTAAACATACTGCCTAACTTTCTGAGCCAAGAAAAAGGGACACCTTTTAGCACAAAGTATGTCAGAAAGGACACGCTCCCTCCCATGCCTCCGATTACACGGATCATAAAAGCATCTCAGCGGCAGCAATGTGCACTCAACCCTCCGGCCACCATGTCAGTTTGGAGGTGGGCAGTCGGGGGGGGGGATGCCACCTTCAAAGCTCAGTTTAAACATTTCTATTTGCATTTTTTATGACTTCTCTTCATCAATAATGAGAACAATGAGTCAGTAGTAGATTAGTTTGCATCCTTCATGCAATATTGTTGCACTTAATGGCCTTCGGTAAGTTCTTGAGTGACAATGCCTCCTGCAAGCTTGCCTGTGTGCCCTGTAATCATTTCTTCACTATGCTCTTTGTAACCCACATCTATAAATCTCATTCCATACTAATTCACATGAACTCATATCACTCCATTCTTGTAGTCACTGTGCAGAGAAATGATATATTCTTCTTTATTGCTCTCAGTGACTAACAGAGAAGATTGAAAACATTTCTGAATCACAGAGAACCGCAGCGCTTTAGGGTAGGGATGGACGTGTGATTGTGAATTTAGTCACAGGAATAGAGTTTCTGGGTACTGAGGGCAGGGAAGAAAAAAACTGTGTAGAGCTTTTTGTCATCTAACCAATTGCAGATGATAGACCGAGTCATGCAATGCTGAGGAAAATGCGAGATATGAAGTCAAAATCTTAGCTGAAAATTAAAGCCCAATTGAATATCTCAAGTTTAAACAATTAAAGTGTTACTAAACCCACAACAGTAAAATCAGTGTGTATATGCAGTAAAGAATGCTTGTTATACTCGCTATGGAACCTAAGAGGGTAATCCTCAAACACTGTTTGATCCTGTCTTCTCTGATCCTCCGCGCTTCTTCCAGTGTCCCCCTCTTATCTCCTGATAAGACATATTGTGGAGAGTCACTCTGCACATTCTCAGTTTTGTGTGAATTGCTAGAGAGGTTTTTTTTTCTTGGGAGAATGCATGTGACCAGCACAGGGCCAATCAGCACTGTCCAGACAGAGGTCAGGGGTTCTGCATCTTCCTAGAGCACAATGAAAACTCCTCCTACAAGCTTTAACTCGTGCTCAGCTGGACACTGATAGAAGTCACAAGACTGCTCTATACTGCTGATGAGAAAAGGTATTTAGCAGTTTATATTTACTAAAATAATTGCATTTCCATGTTGTGTGTACTGTGGGAGAGCGGATATAGTGAATGCGGGGTCCGGGGAGACCAGATATAGTGAATGCAGGGTCCTGGGAGAGCGGATATAGTGAATGCAGGGTCCTGGGAGACCAGATATAGGGAATGCAGGGTCCGGGGAGACCAGATATAGTGATTGCAGGGTCCGGGAAGACCAGATATAGTGAATGCAGGGTCCAGGGAGACCGGATATAGTGAATGCAGGGTCCGGGGAGACCAGATATAGTGAATGCAGGGTCCGGGAGACCGGATATAGTGAATGCAGGGTCCGGGGAGACCGGATATAGTGAATGCAGGGTCCGGGGAGACCGGATATAGTGAATGCAGGGTCCGGGGAGACCGGATATAGTGAATGCAGGGTCCGGGGAGACCGGATATAGTGAATGCAGGGTCCGGGGAGACCAGATATAGTGAATGCAGGGTCCGGGGAGACCGGATATAGTGAATGCAGGGTCCGGGAGACCAGATATAGTGAATGCAGGGTCCGAGGAGACCAGATATAGTGAATGCAGGGTCCGGGGAGATAAGATATAGTGAATGCAGGGTCCGGGGAGACCAGATATAGTGAATGCAGGGTCCTGGGAGATAAGATATAGTGAATGCAGGGTCCGGGGAGACCAGATATAGTGAATGCAGGGTCCTGGGTTTAGTAATACTTTAACCACTTGAGCTCCAGAGGATTTACCCCCCTTAATGACCAGGCCTCTTTTTGGTACTCGGCGCTGCAGTAATTCAACTGATAATTGCGCGGTCATGCAATGCTGTACCCAAACAAAATTTACGTCCTTTTTTTCACACAAATAAAGCTTTCTTTCGGTGGTATTTGATCATCTGTGTGCTTTTTATTTTTCACACACTATAAACAAAAAAAGGCCAAAAATGTTGAAGAAAAAACAATATTTTTTACTTTCAGCTATAAAAAATATATAGTAAACTCAAAGTTGGTTATAAATTTAGGCCAAAATGTATTCTGCTACATGTTTTTGGTAAAAAAAAAATCCCAATAAGTGTATATTGATTGCTTTGTGTGGAAGTTATAGCGTCTACAAACTATGGTATAGATACTGCAATTTACGCCATTTTTTTGCTATACAGCGCTGCACTAGTTTAACGGACAATTGCGCGGTCATGCAATACGGTACATAAATGAAATTTACATCCTTTTTTTTCCCACAAATTGAGCTTTTTTTTGGTGGTATTTGATCGCCTGTGCAGTTTTTATTTTTTGCGCTATAAAAAAAAAAGGCTCACAATTTTGAGGAAAAAAAAACCAATATTTTGGACTTTTTGCTATAAAACATGTCAGTAAAAAAAAATGCAAAAATCAAATTTAGTCATAAATTTCTGCCAAAATACATTCTGCGACATGTCTTTGCTAAAAAAAAACCCAATACGTGTAAATTAATTGGTTTACGTAAAAGTTATAGCGTTTACAAATGGCGGGAAAGATACTGGGATTTTTAGTTTTTTTTTTTACTAATAATGGCGGCGAACAGCGAATTATGGCGGCGATCAGGGACTTATGGCAGCGACCAGCAACTTATGGCGGGACTACTGGACTGCAGCGGACATTCTGACATTGGGGGGTACTGACTTGGGGTCACTGACATTCCCAAAAACACTAATACAGTGATCAGTGCAAAAAAAAAAAAAACTGACACTGTACTAATGGCAATGGGGAGGAAGGGGTTAACTTTATTTTGCAGGGAAGGGTTATAGGAGTGAGGGGAGTGTTTTACTAGGGGGCGGGGGGGGTGTGTAATGGGCGGGACAAGGCTGATCGAGAAAGAGAAACTGTTATTTCTTGGTCAGCTCATCCTCGAGCTGACAGGGAAGTGACAGACAGCACAGCTACTGCAGCTGTGCTCTCTGTCACTGTTTGCCGCCGATCGCCGGGACATAGCCGCTAAGGAGCGGCTATGACCCGGCGACTGACATCTGCGGCGGTGATCCGCGGGACAAATAGGGCTGCGGCGCGCCTCACGTGCGCCCCCTATTTGTTTACAAAACACACATTTTAAAACGTGGTTTTGCCTGCGAGTGCCGCCCTGCCGCTGTATATGTACATTGGTGGGCGGCATGCGGTTAAAAAAATTGCAGGTAAAAGCACAGAATATTCAAACATTTTAAATGCTAAGTTGTTTTCCTTTTCCATACTAGTTCCATAATGAGTCTTTTTTTCATTTGCAATTAGCCTTTGAATGAAAGCTTAACTGCTCCAGGAAAAGTAATTTTCCTAGCCCAGCACTCTACCTACTTGCACATTATAGCCCTCTTCTCTTCTAGGACTGTCTATTGTCTCTGTGCTGGCTCAACTTCTCTTTTCCTCATCTCACCTCCCTGAATAACCTTTTATGCAACTGAAAAGAGAGAAGCAAAGGCCACCATAGAGCAGCGTATCTCAACCAGGGTTCTGTTGAACCTTAGGATTCCTCTAGGTTCTATGGTTTCCTGGAGCAATGGTGGATTTATCTCCCACATGATGGTGGCTGTATAGTTGTGGGGCCAATGTCACTCTGCAGAACCAACTGCATGGCACCAGTGGAGCCTCTCCTCTTGTTTCACAGATTAGTTACCACCAACAGAAATGACCTTTTTTAGCTGTCTGTAGGGATGGATTCATCCCACTGACCTTCAATGTACAGGGGCATTCTTCGCACTGACCACCAATATATGGTGCATCTAGGTATACATATAATCTTCATTTCTTTTCTGCCAATTATTATCATGATTCCTTTTAATTTCATGAACACTATATAAAGTAATATTGCTGTGTAGAGCGAAGAAATTGTTAAAACACGATCCACCTTGGGTGTCAAAAACTCTAGGCATGCTGCATTCTTTATACTCTTTTTATTACTATATCTACATCTTAGACCTCGTGCACGCTGGGCCCTTGTGCCTGAGATTTTGTGAAAACACAGGTGCACCATTCAGCACTGTGGTCAGCAGCCTTCAGGCTGAAAAATAAAGTGGCTGGATAGGGTCCTATGTGCCGAACGATGAATGCCTAAAACACAAGAAGTCTACATTCTAGGCATTCGTCCTTGGATGCATATGGCTTTAAAAGTTAGTACCACTCAGTACATCATCCAGTCACCACATTTTTCAGCCTCTCATAGACTTTTACAGGTCTATGGTAGTGGCTAGAGATGAGCGAATTATTCAAAAATTCGATTCGGCTGATTCGCCGAATTTGCGGAATAAATTCGATTCGATGCGAATTTATTCGCTGCGAATTTAACTTATTAAAAGGGTTTCTAGGCTTCAGAGAGCCTTTATATTAGTGCAGAACACTGTACCTTTAATTTAAATGCCCTTGGAGTCTGCTGGGGAAGAGAAATAATACTGTCAATCAGTATGACATGCAGATGAGTGCCGTCGATCTTAGAATCACCGCACACTTCACTCATTTGGGCAGTCACAGGGCACGACGAAGAAGATGAAGAAGAAGATGAAGAAGAAGATGAAGAAGAAGATGAAAGAAGAAGAAGAAGAAGAAGAAGAAGATGAAGAAGATGATGAAGAAGAAGAGAAGAAGAAGAAGAAGAAGAAGAAGAAGAAGATGAAGAAGAAGATGATGATGAAGAAGATGATGATGAAGAAGAAGATGATGAAGAAGAAGAAGATGATGAAGAAGAAGAAAGATGAAGAAGAAGAAGAAGAAGAAGAAGAAGAAGAAGAAGAAGAAGAAGAAGAAGGATAAGAAGAAGAAGAAGATGAGGATGAAGAAGAAGAAGAAGATGAGGATGAGGATGAAGAAGAAGAAGATGAGGATGAGGATGAAGAAGAAGAAGAAGATAAGAAGAAGAAGAAGAAGAAGAAGAGAAGAAGAAGGATAAGAAGAAAAAGAAGAAGAAGAAGATAAGAAGAAGAAGAAGAAGAAGAAGGATAAGAAGAAGAAGAAGAAGAAGAAGAAGAAGAAGAAGAAGAAGAAGAAGAAGAAGAAGAAGAAGAAGAAGAAGATGAGAATGAAGAAGAAGAAGAAGAAGGATAAGAAGAAGAAGAAGAAGGATAAGAAGAAGAAGAGGAGGAGGATAAGAAGAAGAAGAAGAAGGATAAGAAGAAGAAGAATCAAGAAGAAGAAGAAGGATAAGAAGAAGAAGAAGAAGAAGAAGAAGGATAAGAAGAAGAAGAAGAAGAAGAAGATAAGAAGAAGAAGAAGGATAAGAAGAAGAAGAAGATGAGGAAGATGAGGATGAGGATGAAGAAGAAGTAGGATGAAAATAAGAAGAATTCCAGTACAGCAAAAAGTGTATCTGCAGAGAGCTCCGCTATTTCTGACAGTTCTCTGACAGTTCCTTCACATTTACAGCGGTTGAGGATAAGAAACATTGTATCTATTTGTTTCTGAATAAAAACATCTGTATCCTAAATGGAAACAAATAGATACAATGTTTCAACCGCTGTAAATGTGAAGGAACTGTCAGAGAAACTGTCAGAAATAGCGGAGCTCTCTGCAGGGACACTTTTTGCCGGCTGTTGAGATCTAGATGAAAATCGGCCGATTTTGCATCCGAAATTTTCGGATTCGAATCGAATTTTTCCTAATATTCGAAACGAATTCCACTTCGCCAAGTTCGATTCGCTCATCTCTAGTAGTGGCACTGGGAAATTAACCTGTGTCTTCTGCCCACAAGAAAAGTCCAGAATATTAGGCACAGGAGTTAAATATAAATCCTCAGTGTGCATGAAGTCTTACTCATCATGTGAATGTGCTGAAAGCTCTAGAAAACAATCATTTTTAAACAGACGTTCCCTGAGACCTGGAGAAGAGTGTTTGCAGTGCTTCTCAAAACTAAAGAGGAGCCTCTTTCATAGATCCACAAGAAAGTGGAGTACCAGCATATCTATGTACCAATCCAGAGGAGAATTCATGCATGAATACAAGGAACACCACGCTCCTGACATGCCTGTGCTACATGGAAGTAAGAAGTGGCTTCAGCCTACATTTCTCCACCAAACTACACCCATGGTGTATGGAGAAAACCATGTTGGGGAGTGTGGTTTGATGGAGACATGTAGGCTGAAGCTGCTTCTTACTACCCATGCAGCATGGGCTGTTTGGGAGTGGGAAGGTCCCTCTACTCATTCAAAGGTTCCCTGAGGTCTGAAAATTATTTCAAGGGTTCCTGGAAAGGCTGGTCTAGAAAGGCTGCTATAGAGTGCCATTGTATTGACCATTCTGAATTTCTTCAGTCCCTCAGATCACACCATATAGTCTGCTCACGCATCACTACTTTACTAACACAACTATTAGTCTGGATGTCACACCACTTCCTCAAACTCAATCTATCCAAAACTGAGCTCATAATAATTCCTTCCCCAAATTCCCCTTCCCTGTCTTTTCTGTTCAGATTGCTGGCACAACTATCAGTTCATCCCAGGGTGCTAGGGGTAATCTTGGACTCAGAAATCTCCTTTTGGCCGCACATCCAATCACTATCCAAATCTTGCTGCCTCAACCTCCACACCACCTCCATAATGCGCCCCTTCTTAACCAATGACACCACAAAGCTACTAATTAACTCCCTGGTTATCTCTTGCCTTGACTATTGCAACTCTCTCCTCGTTGGCTTACCTTTACATAGGCTATCCCTGCGTCAGTCCATCATGAATGCTGCTGGAAGACTTGTCCACCTTACCAACCATTCTACCCCTCTCTGTTGATCCCACCATTGACTTCTGCTCACCAATTGAATAAAATTCAAAATACAAACAACAAGCTACATAGCCATCCTGAACTCTGTCTCCAGCTACATCACTACCCTAGTCTTAAAATACCAACCAAACCGTTCTCTTTGCTCCCCCCCAAGACTTCCTGGTCTCTAACTTCCATATCCCTAGCTCCCTACCTCCTCTCATGTTTGTCTTCTCCTGAACCTCTCTCATTCTCTGGAACTCCTTACCCCAATCTGTCTGACTATCTCCTACTCCTCCTTTAGGTGAACCCTGAAAACCCATCTCTTTAGAGAAGTCCAGATTGTAAGTTCTAAATAGCAGGGCCCTCTTATTCCTCTTCTATTAAATTGTATTGTAACTGTACTGTCTGCCCTCATGGTGCAAGCCCTATGTACACTGTTGGCGCTATATAAATCCTATATAATAATATTATCAAGTTATTTAAGAGTGACTAAAATTTCTTCATCTTTGGTTTGCTTAAACATAGAACATGTCAGTTTCTAAATGACTATGGGAAAGTTAGCAATTCTTTCATCTGTTTTTACTATTACTAATACCGCAACTCCACAAATATTACTCCCGCTCTTTTTTGTTCCGGCACATGAAATCTGCTCATTCTTCTGTTGGGGCCCCCAGAGCAATTAAAGGGTTTCCATACAGCGATTTTATTTTATTTTATTTTATTTTCACAGCTACAGATACAAAGTATGTTGTAATTCTGTGCAGCACATCCAACAAGTGTCCCCATCAGTCACCAATGAAAAGAATCTTTTGTTGGGAGCTCTGAGAAAAGAAGGAAACGCAGGTCAATTAGAGTAACTGGTCCAGCACAGTCTATAGCTTTTACACAATGTAAAATTTTTTCTTTTTAGGAGGCCGCATGACAGAAGAGCAATTGTACGTACGCTTGAGACCCACCAGATGTGAGATTCAGGGAAATAATTGTGACTGAAGATGCCTAGAAAGGAAAAAGTCCTTACATATTCAATGTGTGTTGTTGTATTAGTCAAGAAATTCTTTGAAGGGTCACTCTAGATCAGGGGTGGACTGACCATTTGGAAACTCGGGCACTGCCCGAGGGCATGGGGTCAGTAGTGGGCCTCATGAGATGCCCCTGGTACCTTTTTCATAGGCTTTTTTGAGTTTGGGCAAGGACATAGGGGCCCCATGATTTCCTATTGCCCGGGGGCCCCATGAGTTGTCAGTTCGCCCCTGCTCTAGTTAGGCGCACAAAAATTCCGACCCTTATTCCCACTCCTGAGTTCTTTACTGTATGGCCCATCCTAGTGCTGTACAGCCTTTCTAAAAAATACCCATCCTGGCTGGGTCTTGTACTAGGGCACAGGCACAATGCAGCCTCTTTGGATGGTCTATTGGATTGCTGGAGGTCGCAATGAGTACATACCACTCATAAGAATCAAGAGGTGGAGGTACAAGTGTGCACTAGACAAAATCTTGTTTTCTTAAAATTTTTAAGTCTTGTGACTAGTATGCGGGCACTTTGTGGCCTTTATAAATATTATCTAGTGCGCACATATGTTGCAGCCTCTTGACTCTTATGGATGGCCAGTACTCATGGCGACCCCCAACTATCCAGCAACCCATTCATAGGGGCTGCAAAAGTGCTTGCACACTAGACGAAAACCCTTTTTTTTTTAAAAAAAAAACAAACAAACAAAAAAAAAAATAGAATTTTGTCTAGTGCGCACATATGTTGCAGCCTCTTGACTCTTATGGATGGCCAGTACTCATGGCAACCCCCAACTATCCAGCAACCCATTCATAGGGGCTGCAAAAGTGCTTGCTCACTAGACGAAAACCCCTTTTTTAAAAAAAAATCCAAACAAACAAAAAAAATTGAATTTTGTCTAGTGCGCACATACGTTGCAGCCTCTTGACTCTTATGGATGGCCAGTACTCATGGCAACCCCCAACTATCCAGCAACCCATTCATAGGGGCTGCAAAAGTGCTTGCTCACTAGACGAAAACCCCTTTTTTAAAAAAAAATCCAAACAAACAAAAAAAATTGAATTTTGTCTAGTGCGCACATACGTTGCAGCCTCTTGACTCTTATGGATGGCCAGTACTCATCTGTACCAGTACTCAACTGGACCAGTTACTCTAATTGACCTGCGTTTCCTTGGGGGTCGCCATGAGTACTGGCCATCCATAAGAGTCAAGAGGCTGCAACGTATGTGCGCACTAGACAAAATTCTATTTTTTTTGTTTGTTTGGTTTTTTTTTTTTTAAAAAGGGGTGCTGGATAGTTGGGGGTCGCCATGAGTACTGGCCATCCATAAGAGTCAAGAGGCTGCAACATATGTGCGCACTAGACAAAATTCTATTTTTTTTGTTTGTTTGGTTTTTTTTTTTAAAAAAAGGGTTTTCGTCTAGTATGCAAGCACTTTTGCAGCCCCTATGAATGGGTTGCTGGATAGTTGGGGGTCGCCATGAGTACTGGCCATCCATAAGAGTCAAGAGGTTGCAACATATGTGCGCACTAGATAATATTCAATTTTTTCTTTTTTTAAGGGGTTTTCATCAAGTGTGCAAGCACTTTGCAGCCCCTATGAATGGTCTGTTGTTGAGCTGGGGGTCACCATGAGTACAGACCAATCTTTAAGAGTCAAGCAGCTACAGTGCCTGCACAACACCAAAGTTTCCTATGAATCTAGTTCATATCTGTGCTTCTGAGCCAGTACATTTTGTGGAAAGGGTCAAGGACTTTTTTTTTCTACACCAGTTTGCATTTTGCTTGTAATTTACTTCAATGGACCAGCGCCAAAAACTCAAGTGTTGCGTTTTTGATGAGTTTCTGATGTGTTTTGAGTTTTTTGTGGCTAATAGGGAAGTATGACAGTTGTGTTCATGTAGTGCAGCTTTGATGCAACCTTACACTCTCTGGCACTCACGTAGCATCAAAGTAGAATCAAAGTCGCATCACAGTAGTGCAGGAACCTTTTATGTGTCCAAAGTCGCATTGTTTTTGGCTAATAAGAAAGTATGACTGTTCTGTTCATGTATTATGAATTTAATGCACCTTTACTTTACTCTATGGTACACAAGTAGCATCAAAATCGCATCAAACTCCCACTGCATGACCAGAACTGTCATACTTTCCTATTAACCACCCCAAAAAAAGCTAAACGTGTCAAAAATGCATAAAAAAACGCATGTTCACAAATGGTAAATGCACCACAAAATGAGACGGTCAAAAGGATCAACTGCAACCCGCATACATGTAAACCTAGCCTTAGACACTATCTCGCAGCATTGGTGATTCCATCATACAAATTTCTCAGCAGGAATGGTAAAAATGCATTAGCATTCCCCTTTAAGGCTAGGTTCACGCCTATGCAAGTTGAGTTTGAGCCGTTTCTGCAGTACGTTTTGCATTTTTGCACTTGCATTTTTGCCACTTTTTGCCCTGTTTTTGCGGTTTTTTTTTTAAAAAAAATTTCTTGTTGATAGGCAGATTTAAAATGCAAAACGCATCAAAAACACGGCATCAAAAATGTAGCAAAAACTCAATACATGATTTTCCGCAGCATTTCCATTAAAGTCTATAGAACCAAAAATGCAACTTTTTGCATCCAAAAAAGTCCCTCACGCTTTCCAAAAAATGCACAGGTGTGAACATGTCCCATAGGAAATCATGATAAATGGACTGTAATTCATTTCCGCAAAACGCAAAATGCTGCAGAAAAACGCTTAGGTGTGAACCTAGGGTAAGGGCCGGTTCACACCATGCACACACATGAATCTCATAGTAATGCGCTGTGCATTCCTGTGCGATTCACATGTGGTTCTGTGCAGTGCAGTTTCAGCCCATTCATTTTGAGCCTAGGTTCACACGGTGAACCCCATGTGAATCGCACAACATTCCTGTGCAGTGCGATTTGAGCCATTTATATGAATGGCTCAAATCGCACCACATTCCCATCAAAAAAGGTGTGGGCAGCTTTTTTTTACTCACACTGGAACTGGATCTCATTGGTGTTTATACCCCTGTGATCCGGCTCAGGCAAACGCACTGCATTTGCGACCTGCTTCGCTAACCTTCCACTAACGCTCACAGCAGATCACAGAACATACACAGGATCGCAGGAACTGCACAGGAATCGTGTTTCCCTCACCGCATTAGTGCGCACCGGACATAAGGGCTGGTTCACACCATGCCCACACATGAAGATCACAAGAATGTGCTGTGTATTCCCATGTGATCCACATGCGGTTCTGTACAGTGCGATTTCAGCCCACGGGGAAAAAAAATGCACACTGCATCAAAAATAGCGAATGCAGTACTTTTTAAAAAACGCACTGTAACCCAGACCACGGTACAATAGCACCATTCTATCCAATGCAGGCAGGTGAGGGTGTTTGGGGTGTCATGTTGACTTTCTATTGACATCCACTGCAGATTGCAATCATAATGCACTTTGCATGCGGTGCGAATTGCACAGGAACGCACAACAGGTATAGTGTGAACTGGCCCTGAATAATAATAAAACAAAGCTAAAAAAACTTTTGTTTGTCTGTCTGAAGATCTGTAAAGAAAAAAAAATCCATGCAAGTCATGAGGGCCAATCATCAATACATTGCTGTGATAGGAGAGCGGTATGTTGGATAACAAGCAGACACCTTCTAGATTGGGACTGAGATGAGACAAGGTAAGACGAGGTGAAGCAAAAACCAGCAGCCAGATTTTGGCTTTCCCATGAGATTCCACAGAAAGAAGTCAGATTTCACACAGCGTTTTCTAGTAATGTGTCTGCTACCTCCAGCACGCCTGAGAAACAAGCCACTGCATAGCGGGGGCCCCTACAAAACAATGAAATGTGCAATGCCGTTTACCATTACAAGGAATTATTTATTTATTACATAGCACTGTCAATTTACACAGCACTTTACATACATACACGGCTCAAAAAAAACTAAAGGAACACTTTTCATTCAGAGTATAGCATCAAGTAAATGAAACTCCTGGGATATTGATCTGGTCAGGTAAGTAGCAGAGGGGGGTTGTTAATCAGTTTCAGCTGCTTTGCTGTTAATGACATTAACAACAGGTGTACTAGATGGGCAACAATGAGATGACCCTCAAAACAGGAATGGTTTTACAGGTGGAAACCACTTCCATTTTTCCCCTACCCATCTTTTCTGACTGTTTTTATTTGGCTAGGGTCAGTGTCACTACTGATAGTATGAGGCGATACCTGGACCCTACAGAAATTGCACAGACAGTCCAACTCCTCCAGGATGGCACATCAATACATGCCATTGCTAGAAGGTTTGCTGTGTCTCCCAGCACAGTCTCAAGAGCATGGAGGAGATTCCAGGAAACAATTGCTCTAGGAGACCTGGACAGGGCCGTAGAAGGTCCTTAACCCATTAGCAGGACCAGTATCTGCTCATTTGTGCAAGGAAGAACAGGATGAGCACTTCCAGAGCCCTACAAAATGACCTCCAGCAGGCCACTGGTGTGAATGTCTCTGACCAAACAATCAGAAACAGACTTCATGAGGGTGGCCTGAGGACACCGTCCTCTAGTGGGCCTGTGCGCACTGCCCAGCACCATAGAGCTTAATTGGCATTTGCCCTTGAACACCAGAATTGGCAGGTCCACCACTGGCACCCTGTGCTTATCACAGATGAGAGCAGGTTCACCCTGAGCACATG